AATTTGAGTTGAATTACTGAAATAAATGAACTTTTCCACGACATTCTAATTTATTGAGATGCACCTGTACTTGGATGAACAGGAGTTTCAAGGACTTTGGTCCACGGTTTTCCCACTAGTATTAAAAATAGAAGAATGACAAATTGTAGATGAAAGTTCTCCAGATGTTCAGGCCAGAGGCACAGCATTATAAACTAATATGTCCTTGACAGATCAGTGGCTGAGGTGGTTTGTTTAAGGAGACATCAGTATTAGAGGACAGACTAAAATCAATAAGAAAGCCTGTTGTTTAGCTTTGACGCCACCAGACGTTTTCCTTTGAAATGTATATTGAGAAGCCAACTTGTGGCCGAAAGGAAACTAAGGGATTTTTCATACCACTTGAAAAGAATCTAAACAAGTGTCTTCAACTTGGATGAGATCAATACTTACATGATGGCATTATAATTTGTAGCTACATCAATTATAATTATGTGGTAATTTTAAGTGTACATCAAGTATTTATTTCCTTTTATAAAAGGTTTTACACCTGAAGACATAAACAGCATTTCTGACAAATGTTAAAAATGTTGTACACATCCAGTCATGTCAGTCATGTCATAAGTTTCAATAAAGAGGTTGCCTTGTTGAGATCCATAATGACCAGCAGAGATATAAAATTATTAAAATAAAATTATACATTATAAAATAAATAAAAATGAATTATAAATTCAAAAATTATATATATATATTCATTTTTTTATTTATTTTTTAAATAATATATATTCTGGCCAGGGATTACATAATTCATGTATGACAATTTTAGAATTCTGAGAGAGGGAACAATGAAATTTGTAAGTTCAGTAATTTCGGAAAGTTGATACATACATTTGCAGTCATGCTGATTTTCGGCTAGCTCAAATCCTGGGCGGCACTCACACGCCACACCACCTTTGGGAGTCTCTCTGCAGATATGGGCACAGCCATGGTGCTTATTCATACAGTTCATCCCATCTGCCGAAAGAAAGACAGTGAGAAAAACAGAGAGAGAAACCTGAGTTACAGTCGTGTGATCTTCCCATTACAAACACTCCTCTGACAGGCTCCTGGAGATGAGCGTGTGATTTTTATGAGTGGTGTAAATTAGTTTAATGTTTCTGCCACAGGACCTTTTTTCACACACAGAACAACACTTACACTGACTGACCTGTGGAAGCACACACAAAAACTCTCTCCACGGACAACATGCTCAGCAAACATCTACACTACTTTTTTCCTCTTTCATTTTCCCCCATTTTGTTCTGAGATTGCAACATCTCTCCTCATGTTTCACCCACAGGAATAATTCACCCACGAATGAAAATTCTGTCATCACTTACTCTCCCTCATATCGTATGACTTAATTTCTTCCAGAGAAGACAAAAAGAGAGATTATGAAGAACATATTGGTTGATTTTTTCCAAACAATTACAATTTTTCTAATTATATTTATTATTAAACTAGAGCTTTAAAGCTTTAAATAAGACCATAAAAGTATCATAAAAGTGATGCACTATATTCCAAATCTTCTGACATATGTTCACTATACGTGAAAAATAGACCAAAATGTGAGTCATTACTCTCATAAATTGATTTTACAACTAATCTTGTCATTAAATTATTTTTGTTCAAGATCAAAAACTCTGATTTGTAAACTCAAATTGCAATTGCATTGAAACACAACCAGTATATTTTGTAATATATGTGCACTATATGACATATATTACCAGTATATATGACAATATATATATATATATATATATATATATATACACACACATACAAAGGTGGAAAGTAACGAATTACATTTACTCGCGTTACTGTAATTGAGTAGCTTTTTTGTGTACTTCTACTTTAAGTAATTTTTTAAATATGTAATTTTACTTTTATTTTACGTAGAGGTAAGGTAAATACTTGCATCGTTGCATTGGTGGTTAAAATGAAGCTTTGACAGTTTAGCAAAAGATTTTGCACAAATTAGCCAAAAAGACAGTGGAGCAGGTTGTGCGATATAGGCTATATCGTCTGCGAAAATATCGTAATTGTTGTTTTAACGATGTGCAATGACATTATCAGTATTTTGCCAAAAACAAAACAAAACACTCCTACAGTGCCGTGAAGTCTAGTAGATTAGACTAGAGCGCGCGCATTTAGAGTGCTTTCTTTCACTGCATGATTCAGTCTGTTAGATTGCATAAATTGACAATTTTCAATTTAGAAAATGTCAGAAATTTCAATTAGCTTTTTCCTTTCCCTCTGATCTTGTATGTAGAGTATAGTGCAGTTATCTACCATAGCATCTCACCATCCTTAGCGAATCCTCCTAGTTTCCTAAACAAAGTGATAACATAAAAGCCCTGAAAAAAAAGACACAGACAAGGGATGCCAGAGAGGAACTGTTGGGCTTCTCTAAAGGACATCCTCCTCATCTTCAGGCCAAACAATGAGAAAAGAATGTGTGTGTACACAAAAGCAAGTCTCCGTGGAAACATGGCGGGTTCTTGCATCTCTGCCCCCTCTGTAGCCTCTTCAGAAGCGCTAAGTGCTCTCAGGACAGAGCCTAAAGTGGGCTGCTTTTCTGTCGGCATCTTGGAAGACACCTTGATGTGCCCAATTAACATGAACTCTGGAGAGGGTGTCAGATCTTTAAATGACAAAGAGATCTGCCACATTTCTCACCCAACAGTAAGAGAGTGTGAATGTGTGCTACTATGAAGCATTTTTACTATGAACCATTACTCTAGGTCTGCGACTGGCAGACTTATACTACTATGAGACTTCATTAGGCCGCATAGGGTTTTGGTGGTGTTTTAACTGGAAGTGTTGGAGATGAAATGAGACCTTCACCCCGGCTAAAGTTTTAAACATGCCACACGGCTGTCACAAGAACACAGACAGGAAGGAAAACTAAATATTGACCCCTTTCACCATAACTCATTCGTCATTCCTCCATCTGTGTATATCCACAGCAGCACTCAAGAAAATGTGAGAAAAAAAAATTGCAATTATGGGAAATTTTAAGTGGGTGCTTGTGAGAGAAAAAGACAGCAGGCTCATGCACATACGTGTATGTGCCTGTGTTTAATATCAGCATGCACTCTGTGTGTCCATGCGCTCTGTTACCCATAAACCCACCACTTAAAATAAGTGCTCTAAAAGCCCCAAATGCGATGTCAAAAGGGAAGCCACCTTTTAAAGTCTAATGTATAATAATTTATACACCAATTACAGTGCAGCTTAACCCGGCTTTACTTCTGGCCCGACAAAACAGTCTCAGATGTCCATAGATGGAGAGAATAGGATGGAATCTGTCTTTGTAACTCTGAACGTCAGCGTAATTTGGATAAATTTGAAATAAAAGACCTCTGAAGATGGCCTCCACATCCAACAACTCTTTATAAGGGTGGAAAACGTTTGTTTTAGCAGGTGAGGCTAACACAGGAATATCACAGGAGGAGCCCAGTTGTTTAAAACATGATCTAGAGTGCTTTTGACGTGTATAATTGTTAGCGGTTAGAAATAAAAGAGTTAAAAACTTTCTGACAGAGAACAAAGTGAAACTCTGCTATACTTTGTGCTGTTTCTGACTGTGTGTAGCACCTACAGCTCTGCAGTTTCTTCTGAGACATCTGAAAAAGTTTTTTTTTAATCTTACAGATCATTTCAATCTATCTAATATGTTTGTTTGGCACATTTTGAAGTAAACTGGAGCAGAAAAGCACTCTTACTCATTTCATATGCAAAAATGCATTTTTTTTATCTTAAAGGCACAGTAGCATGTTTAATTCTAAAGCATCCATTAAATTCTAAAGATCAGAGAAAGGGTTAAAAGGGTCAATAAAAATTAAATTATGACTGTTTTGGACAAAACAATTGTGACTAATATTACTAATTATACAAAATTATGATATGACCCTTTGGCTAACAGGAAGTGAACCATTTTCTACAGTAACAGTAAAACCCTGGTTAAAAGCATGTGTGATCAAGTTTGAAGAGAAAAAACCTTTTCTGTCATTTTAAGTAACAAATGATCTTTAAAAATAGGTTACCTATACACAAGCGCACACACATGCACAAACATATCCACAGGCCCCCTTTTTCCCATCTCTTGTAAATGCCATTTTAACTGAAATCTGTCACTCTCTCTCTCACACACACACACACACACACACACACACACAAGCTTATTAATTACGGTTAACATTAAAGTGGACCTTTTTCTGGAACGTTCCCTGGCTAACCCAGTGACCCTTAATTATGTCACAGTGGCTGGAGAAAGAGACGGTATTCCGGGTTCTATGTTTGATTCTATTCTCTCTCTACTTATGTCTTTTTCTGAACATGAAGGTTTACAAAGACCTGGTGACTTTAGTGTGATCATACACTAACACACACACTTTAAGCCTCCTGACACAGTGCAGCTGTTTTCTTCAGTGAGGAAAGAGTCAGATAGCAAAAGTGGGAGAAAGAGAATCTAAAGAAAAAAAAACACCCCAGCTGGACCTGGATCAGGACACCAGGAAACAGGAAACCCGACTTTTTACTTAAGTACTAGATATGGGTGTTATGCCCATATCTAGTATTACTTATTTTTAATACGACTGACTTTGCATTTAATGGTTAACTTTTATAAAGAATATCTCTTTGGAATTGAGACTTTAGTCTTTGCAACTTTACAGATCTTCTTTATGCACCAAGAGCTTGTAACACTCCAAATTGAAATCGCATCATATGACCCCTTTAATAACAATATTGTACGTTACTAATTATAACACTTTAATTTTACAGAGAGTAAAGAACATTTACATTATCAAATAACATTTTCATTCAGTCTAGCCAGAGGCACTCTCAAAAACTCCCATTATGATCACTGAAGCGGTTTACACTGTTAAATGAATATATTACTTACATTCGTACGCACATCTGCACTTTGGCTCAGAAATCTGAGGGGGCACGTGCCCCCGCGATGGACTGAAGCTAAAAATACAGCCTATGATCTGTACCTGCACTCGCAACCCAGATAATTTCACACTATAGTAACTAACTACGGTATGTATAGGTTAGGTTATACTTAAATTTGAGTCTGTACACAAAGCTATCATGTGACTTTATAAGACTTAGAGCAGTGTTTCCCAACCGGGGTGCCGTGGCTTCATAAGCTCAACAGAATCATTTGTGATTGGTTATAATGCAGCGCTGTACAAACGCATCTGTCTCTGGCTCAGTGCCAGCCAAAGCGCGAACACATATTTGAATTTAGCAGCTGATGCTGTGCCGCACTGAACGATATAATCACACCGGTGTGATTGTATCACATATAAAAAATATAATACGCCTATTTTTTGTCTTTTGGAAGCTGCATTCAAACTCCACTTGGCTCAGAAATCTGAGGGGGCACGTGCCCCCGCGATGGACTGAAGCTAAAAATACAGCCTATGATCTGTACCTGCACTCGCAACCCAGATAATTTCACACCTTTTCAAATGATCATATCGAAGTTAGAAATTAAAATATTGTGACAAAATTTTGTTAAAATTTTAACAAAGTTTGTTAAAATTTCCAAAGTGTGCCGCGACTAAAAAAAGGTTGGGAAACACTGACTTAGTGTATACTACAATGGACATTTTTAAAGCTACTTTTATGGTACTTTTGCACTCTTTTTGAAGACAAAATTTTTAAAAATTCTGACAGAATTCTGCCTTTGGGATAAGAAGTCCCTTTAAATGAACCAGCCTAAGAACATTTTTTTCCTTTAAATCTAAGTATATTTGCTTTGTATATTTAAACAGGTTTTGACAGCTGGCCCTCAAGTCAAGGGAAAAGATCCGATGCTCCTTATAACCAGTCCATCCCGCCTACCAACATGACTCCACCTGCAACAGTCAAACTACATTGCTCTGAAAAAACTGTTAGGGAAAAGAAAGAGAAAAGTATAAAAACAGAGCAAAAGAGGAAACGCAGAAGCATATGAAGGT